ACAGGCGCTCGAATCTACCACCTAATGTAAATGATAAATGTAAATGTAAAGTAAATGATAGTACGATAGAAAGCAATAGCATTCTGTCAAAACGGCACGCTAAAGGGTCTACAAGTCAGCCTGGGAAATCACGAACCAATTTGTCGAAATTGAATAGAATATGAAATATCACTTTTACTAGACAGAGTAGAGGACGTAGCCAAAGGAAATGTTAACAAGAAGAAAAATAAAATGGTCAAGGCCTTAGTAAAGTGATCATTTTTTCTTACTGCTGCCAAAAAAAGAAGGGTTTACAAAAGCCGGATGTATATTAACGCTAAACAAGAACATCTGTTTCATCTGGCCAATTAATATCATTTGCCCCTTTCTGGGATTTGAAGGGTACCTGAGCGAGGTCTTGTCCAGTAGCCGCGAAGATGGCAGCCACGAGATTGGCGGCATGGGCATTACAACCAGCCATGCCGGAAGCACCAGCCATCGCGGAGCCTGTCCAGTGCTTGAGGCTTGCCAACCGCGACATTCGTATTGGCTCAGTGTGGAAAACTCGAGACACCACCCAACCTGGAAGTCGCGCCTCTGCCAAAACCGACTTACCCCGACCCAGCAGTTGATTCACAACCGCTGGCTTCTTGTCCGCGCACATATTACCGCTGAGGGATATCACCTATATGTAGGAAAAAGTGCAACTCATCAGCTCTCTACTAAAGTATATCAATAATCACAACAAAGCTTTCTCGCCTTCGTGAGTCAGTTTTTTTGCATTGTGAGGGTCAAATTGTTCCTCTAAATGAAGACACTCATTCAGAGGGGGTGGATGCCAAAGTTCATTTGATAATCAAGCTAAGACCGAGAGAGGTGAAGGGAAGAAACAGGCATGCTGATAGAGCATAATGAAATTTCGTTCGCATTCGCCACGCTACGTTGCAAGCGAAGAATATGAGTGTTCAACATAAGGGAATCACCAACCACCGTACAAACATTCTACAAGGCGGTTAGTAAACCCAAGGCCCAATAATTGGTGTCCTTGTCTGACTACTACTCCCAATGAATATATCATTATGGAATCTGCTCAAGTCTCAGTTGCCTTTATCAAATGGAAATTTACTTTCAGGGTAGAAGAAGGATTCTAAGAGAATTTCGCCTGTTGTCGGTTAACGCATAAAGTATTGGTATGACTACCCATTTGATGTGGATGTAGGGGACTAGTTTATAGACTCTAACGTTAACCAATGAGATGGAAATTCACTTTCAAAGTGATAATGGCTACACACAATTCCTTACTTGAAGCGAAATGAGAAAGAATCAACCTGCAAGCAAAACTTCTGCCTTTGTGTCCCGCCTTCTCCATTTTTGGAGGAGCCCGACCAGCTCATCTTCCCAATCTCAAGTTCCCTCAGGAAGGATTGTAAGAGCCAGAGTTTAAACTAACAGTGAGAGCTCAAAACAAGAATGCAACACAACAGAGAGCGCAACTAAGAGTACACACCCAATTGACCTCCATAACGCTCCTGGCTTTATCGCCCACATGGTAGTTACAAGTAGTCATTACAGCGGATTGAATCGAAAATTCCATGAACCATTTCGATCATCAGGAGAACCAAAGTACAAGACACAAAACCACAACTAAACAACTGAAGGCAAACCTTAAATGAGTGCCAAGGATCTTTAAGTCTAGACCAAGCTTCCCTGTAAAGTGGGAAAAAACCAACTATAACATCAAATTTGCAGTCAAAAATGACCAACGCACCTGCATACGTGGAAAGTGTTTGCAGAGACACCGAAGGGCTCGATCAGTACCTTTGCTGACCATGTTCATCCCCATCGCTTCCCCGGTCTGCGCGGCGAAACGCAGGTGGAGATAGCGGCCCACCTAAAATGAAGTGTAACAGAAGGTGCAATCATGGGAGCAACAAGTCATCCAGCACAAAGTTAGATACACACTCACAGGGCTGGGAAAGACAGAGACAAGTTCGGCATGTGAACTAGTCTCATTGAAAGCCTCACGCAAAAGCTGAAAGCCCTGTGGCGACTCGACCCAGGCAATGCACTTCACTACCTCACCAACTGATGGAAAAGCTACCACGGGAGCGCGTGTCATTTGATCCCTGTTGGATAGGAAACAGGTTGTCAGCTGACAAGGAGGGAACGTAGTGAATGGTCATACACCTAACCTGAAGAGAGCAGTTCGTACACCACCTGAAAGGTAAAGGGCTCGGCAACCGCGGTTGGTGCTAGCAATTAGACAACCCTCAGTGGTAGCCAGGGGAAGATAGTGCTCCTGTCCATCCAACAATAGAGGTCCCACCTTTCCCAGCGGAATGGGTATGTAGCCAATCACCTGGTCAAGAAAGATGGAATGGTCATTCATTTGCCTTCCTTTCCCAAAGAACACCAATGACAAGATGAAGGCACGCATGAATAGTGGAGCCGCACATAACTCCATCCAGTTAGCTGAGTTTTGGAATGGTTTTTTCTCCATTGGATGAACAAGTACACTAACGACTTTCATCCTCAGTGAAGTTTTGATCGGAGTGAACAACGACTGCATTAGCGATCGCCCAACCATATAAATGGATGGATATCAAGAGATTAAAGGTGAAAATGCTAATATAGACTGGAGCACTGAACTCACGTAGCAACACGTGCAGGTGAGAGGCGAACATCTATGGGTATGAATGATCCATGTGCGATGTTT